GTAGATGTTCATATCATCTCTGAATTCATGTTGACACTGTTTTTACTTCTGGAGGGAGTTCCCCATGGTCCCTGTATGTGTTGTAAAGTATCCACGACTCCAAGCTCACTCCCCATGATGGTGTACAGTCTCACATTTAATTTAGTAATTTGCGTTGAGATTATAGTCCATCATGTGAGCAAGCTTGGCGCGAAGGACCATGGGAAACACACACAGGGACCATAGGAAACAAATGTAGCCACACTCCAGAAGCTTCCTTCTGCACAGTGTCAGCACAAATTCAGAGATGATTTGATGATCTACAGCTGAGTGATGCACAAATTAGGTACAGTTTTGTTAATAGTTAAGTTTCAGGAACTGCAGTTCCTGTGCTCGCCTGCAGGTGTCTCCAGGCAGCCAGGAACTGTCGGGTACCAGACCACCACTGGGTGGTGCTGGAACCTGCGACTCCGGTGCTCACCTGCGGGGGTCTCCCAGCTGCCAGCCCTTCCTGAGTTTCACGTCCTGTTACCTGCTTGCAGCCCTGTTGCCATTACCTGCTTGTAGTCCTATTGCTGTTACCTGTATTAAGCTATTTGCTACTGTTATGTGTTGTAGGTGTTGGTGGTTATATTTAATGGGTGTCACGTTACTTATTCATGTTTGCTTTTGGTTGTTTTATTTGGATGTGCTGTTTACAATAAACTGTATATAAACACATCTGCCTTGTCCAGTGTGGTCATACTAATTTGGTCCTCCTGCGTGGGTATACCTGCATGCAGTGCTGACATTAAGGTACTTGAATGCATTTTTAGGATTTCACACCTGAGTTTAGTGCCATTTTAACTGTAGACACCTTAAGCATAATGTGTGCATATTGTTTGTATGCAGTGAGATCTCATAAAATGACTGCAGAAATATTTGTTTTTTCAACTACACCAACACTTTTGTTTAATCACCTTGTCTTTGCAAATTGTCATTGACAGTTGTATTTACTAGAATGATTGCCGATACAAATAGAGATAGTGCAGTGACTCAATGGACAGTACACAAATAGTAGCAGACATTGAATCTTTAAACCATGCCTTCTGACTTTCACATTTAAGTATTTTCAGGTTGTTATGATTAGGGCACCATATCTTAAACCTTGCCAAATAGTTTGCTGAATTGCTGTGGGATTAGAACACTCCACAATTAAATATGGATCTGAGAACCTCTGAATGCATTTTTGTTTATTCTAATTTGCAATATTGTATTGTAGGGCCCATTACAAGCAGGACCTAGATGGAGTAAAGAGCTCTCATCTTGGAGATTGTGAGGGTGAGTAGAACTTTTTTGACTGGTTGCTATGTTTAAATTGGCATACCTTTATGTTAATATTAGAGCTTTAAAAGGCTTTTTCTCTTCAGGTTTGATCACAAAGTCTTTTATGGAGGATCAAGGCATCGAAGTATCTGTCAATATGTTGGTCGTTTCTACACTGTCAGCTTTTGTAGTAGGTGCAGTATTGTCAGGGTTGGGTGTGTGCTTGTTAAGCACTTGGCAAAACACAAACTTTCAACACAGACAGAAGGATAAGGACACCACCCTCGTATTGCAGCATCCAGTCAATAGTGTAAGCAGGGGCAATGATATAAGCCGTCCAGTGCAGATCACTCTTCCCTACTCTTTGACGCAAAATGGTTGGAGCCCTGGAAACAGCAATGAACACATTGGAATTCCACCTACTCCAGAACAGACTCCTCAGCAGCACAAGAGAATTATTAATTTCCAAGACTATATAAATCACTCTCTGCATGATCCATCTTTCAGCGCAATATACCCAAAGGTCCATCACCTAGCATCCTCTAATTTAGCAACTGATAGGCTTTATGACTCACAAGTTGCACAATGTCAGCAGACCCATGGAGAGGATTTTCACTATTCTATGCTGCATAGAGGGGAATCTCACTACCTACCCTTAAAGGAGGATGATCCACAGTATATATTGCAACACGGAGAAAAATTATGGAATTTTCACCATTACAGCAATGACTCCTATTGCATCCCCCACCATGGAAAGGATTCCTGTAGTTTACCAATACAGTTAGAAGAGAATAAATATGTGTTGCAACATAGGAGCAACACCAAACGCATGCACGAGCATTCATCACAGTGT